TGCTCCATACGGGTCGAAAACCTGGCAAACGCTCGCCGAGGCTGTCAACAGACTTTCCGTGTTTGACCATCGACGTCTTCGGAGCATTGCCCAAGAGTAATGCTAAAGTACGTCAGAAAGATAACACGCCCAATAGAGATGAACTGATTGCACTGGCTTGGTCACGTGCTACACATGCTAGTCGAGCGGCTACCTCAGAGAGTACTCAGCTGCGCTGGTCGTTGTGGGTGACTGTTCAACCCTGGAGGGGACGCCGAGAATAGATGTATCAATAGCTGTTGCTTCCGATGCACAGCTAGCTCTCCCGATCTTCCCAACGAAAAGATCAATGTCACTCGTGGATTCCCGAGTACTACCTACTATCTTCAATGTGTAGCTATCCATTCGCAAACTCCCCAGATCATCGGAGAAAGAGACTGACAATCGTGATCACCACACAACTTGCAGGCGGTTTTAAAGCTGAAGATGGTGATGAACTGTGCGATTAAAGTGGCGCTACGTCCTGTCTAAGCGTGAGCTATCCACGTTGGTGTTCAACCGACTGTGGTCGAACGGTTGCGAGTTCTAATCCCGATGGATGCGAACTGATGATGACTGTCCGCAAACACGGGACCGAGACTGACTTCACTTGAAGAAACAGGCGATACCGATGTAATCTTTTACCGGCATCGGGAAGCGGAGCGAGGACAAGTATAGTTGCACAGACGAAGGACGCTGTAGCAACTGTGTCTGAGGTAATGTGGTCCACACCTGTCCGGAAGGTTGTGGGGTTGGAGGCTAATACATGAAACCCTATCCGCATGGAAGTGACGCGCGCTACTCGGCACCTTTCATTTGACCCTTACGCAAGTAGCAAAGGATCCACCCATATGAGCATCGTTCGAAGAAATGCTACCAGTCAATAGGGGGGAAACCTGCTAGAACGTAGACTGAATCAACCCAATATCGGAAAACAAAGCATTACATATCGAAGGCAAAGCGACCCTGTTCTTAGCACAGTGGTTGGTTCACGTCCAAGTCTCCGTTTCACCAGGTCACGTGCTCACGTTCGACACCCGAAATCAGACAAACTCATGTTAACAAAGTTCGGTTTCATGCTTTAAACGGCCTGCAAACTTATGAACAATCGTCTTCATCACCATGCAGAACAATAAACCAGGAACACATTCTCACGCCGACTGACATACAACTCTGAGGGAATGAAGTCATAGTAAACAGAGGAAAAAACATGGAGAGGAATGGACTTAGTGCGATGAAGTCCAGGGGAAAAACAAGATTAAGGTGCCTACAACTATGAACAATCCTAAGCTCGACATAACATAGTAATTAAGGCGCAAACGTAGTGACCGGAACGTCCGTGGTTCGAATCCAACCCCGGCATCTCGACTACTCCAGTCTAGGTTTGGGCAATCTGGCAGTATCTCAGCTGTCGTGCTTCCTCCAGGTAAGGTAGCAGCTAGGCAGTGAAATGGCTACAGGCGAATTATTATATATATATATATACGGTACTGAAATAAGCATCAAACTGAGATGTCATCAACAGGTTTCCACCTTTCTTTCCCGAACGCACGTCAGCCGAACTGCAGCTAGACATCGCAGCCAGGAAACGACAGCAGGCTCATCACTGCCAGTCTGAGACCCCTAAGACTGAAATAAGCATCAAACTGAGATGTCATCAACAGGTTTCCACCGTCCTTTCCCGAACGCACGTCAGCCGAACTGCAGCTAGACATCGCAGCCAGGAAACGACAGCAGGCTCACAACTGCCAGTCTGGTGAAGACCCCTAAGAATCAGCTTTACTGTGACCACTTTCATTTCATGCTGCCCTGTCGTGATCTGTCTCCCACGAACATTTCGGCAACAGTGGCGTGCAAAAGAAAAACTACGGTTTCATCGTGGCAGGTGGTTGGGCGTAGGCAATACCTGCTACAACCACTTCGAAACGGATTCGTTAACCCCTTACGCTCTACTTCGCAGCAGCCAACTTTGAATAATAGATAATAAAAACCCGTTCAGCTGTAACACCCTTCCGGTACTTCGCTGCCATACCACCCAAAGGAAGCACAAGGGCTGGGATACTGCCAGGTTGCCCAAGCCTAGAGAAGAAAAGTCGAGAGCTAGAGGCCGGATTCGAACCAGGGACCTTGCGGTAAGTGAATTCGCGCTCTAATCACTGAATAAAGGAATGAGTGTAGGTTTCCCAATTGTGGATGGGTCATCAAACTAAATTGAATAGACCTCGGTGTGATGGCAACAAAGTAGAATTCACGCTGCTTAATAGCCGTTTGATTCTGGCTGTCACGACAGCCAGAGTGGCGTAAACAGAGAGGTGGCCAACCCTTGACTTGGCGGAGGAGTATGAAGGAGATCCCGAAACGCTTGGCTGCTGTCGGTGCTACTCGCCTTCCAGGATTGGGACCGCGTGATCCTCACTGTGCCTGGTTGGAAACACTACAAGATATGGCTGCCAACCAATACTGTTGTCAGTTTCCATCCAGATTGCCTGAATGAGTGTCTGGAAGTGTAAACACCTCGGAATGATTGTGGTAAGCTAGAACTAAGTCCCTCTCCCATCCACCTTTAATCTTTTCTTTACCGTAAGGCTTCCAAATAAATCATGGTTGTACGGCAGTGAAGCATCGGTGTTGAACAGTGATGTCATGCTGTCGATGATGATGATGACAGCGTTTTGACGAAGGATCTCCACAGTATCCTCCGGCACTCAGTAACTTACGACCAAGATGGTGTAATTCAGGGATTTCCACAGGTCAAGTGAGTCGCAGGCACAGTCATCACAAGCCTCACCTGTTCGGTGTCACTGGGTTATTCTATGAAGTGTACTGACTTATCATACGAGCCCAGTGGATCTGCATACCAATCCCGAGGTTTGGGTTAGATGAACGATCGATTTTTGGACGGGAACGATCGAAATTTCTTGTGCTCACTGGGAAGCAACTTCAGGCGGGGCGAACAAGTATATCAGGGCAGAGGAATGCACTTACTCAAGCAAAGGGTTTATTTCCATCGAAAGACTGATTCTATGTCCAAGCATATATAGTGCAGCAAGCAGATCAGTCCACTGAACGAGTTCACCAAGTGGGCCACCTAAAGTGAACATGACAGGCAGAAAGATTCATCAAATGTGTGACAAAAAGAAGACCAAAAGGATGAGTCCAGAGGACAGTCCAAGACAACTCATCCCCAACTGTCCATACCACACACACACACACAGAAAACCAGTTTCAACCAGTCAAGATGGACAGGACGATTTAGGAATATATGGAAGTCAGTGAATTTTACCCAACTGACTTGTGGAGTTGGTAGTTGAGCATCAAAAAAACGAAGACAACTGAGGGGATATGTTTGAAAAGCAGAAACAACGTGCAAATCTAAATGGGTTAGGTGGTAGGATACATAAAATTCGTTTCCCAGTTAATGTGGACACGAGACACATTCCACAGAACTCACCGGATTCTGGGTAGTCGCGGCATCCCAGATATTAGATTTTGAAATTCGGGGTAAACTCTAGATAAGTGGCAATTTAGGGGCTATTAATTGCACGTTTTGTCTCTAATTGTAAGTGAAACACAGCGAGGAACCTGCGTAACACATGAGTACTACATTTCGCCCAAGCAGAAGAACGTCAGGTTGGAAAAATCACATAAAAAGGCAATTCATTAGGTCAACAACAGCAACTTTGTGAGTAGTTACCTTTAGAAGCATATATACTGCGATATCTTGACTGTTGTATCAACTGAACTATGAGGCAATGGCCTTTGTGCAACCCATTCAGTTGTAGAATATCATAAACGAGAGACAGGATTGAATCTCTCGTGAAAACTCAATTGATTTGCAAATGTGTGTATTTCCTGAAAACAGTTGTATTTGGGTTCAATGAGAACATAAGGTTGACGAAAACTCGGGGGCAGCGCCTACTTGATGAGCCCAAGGAAGGGCGAAACCGGTTGTGGACTGTCAAAGAGTTTTCAGCAACCTTGTGAGTAGTTTTCTTTATGAAAAGATATACTGCGATATCTCGACTGCCGTACCAAATGAACCATGAGGCAGTGGCCTTTGTGCAACACATTTAGAGCACCATAAACGAAAGATGCAGTTGAGTTTCTGGTGAAGACCAAATTGATTTGCAAATGAGTGCGTTTGTCGAAAACTATATAACATCTATTGCGCAGTTCCGAATTCCACACTCAAAGGTTTTGTTCCCGAATTACGCAGTTACCCGTTCCTGTTAGCTCAGTTTCACCGATACATCTCTCAGGAAGAATGACACTGTCGACGCATAAATCAACCACAGAGGACGGGACTGGGTTGACTGAATCGCGATTCTGCGTGAACCAGTCGTGTCCACATAAAGCGTCTGCGTCGACCGATTGAAGTGATTCTCACCTGGTCTCGGCGATACTCCATATAAGAATTGAACAAAAATTTACAACTTTCGAGCAATCCTCTCAAAGACGGTCCGAAACTGATCAAAACCAATCCACATGAGGATTATTGGTGGTTGATCAGACGGCTGTTGATCTGTTCGCCGAGCTTGGCTATTGACTTGCAAACGTTTCATCACCATAGCAGAAGATATCATCATTGCGAAGTTAGGTGGCTACCATGCCTACGTGCGCTTCTATAGAATTTTGAGGCTATCTGTCATCTGTCATTTCGAGGACTTCTATTTTTAGTAGTTTCCTCCGACGTTCTAATTGGTTTCTTTCTCCATTTGTATTGCGTTGTGGCTTAATTTTTTAGGGATGACCAACCGACTTGAAGAGACGCAAACCACAACGCAACAAAAATCACGAACGGACCAATAAACGCACGAAAAACGCTGTCAACCAAACCAATAAACGCACGAAAAACGCTGTCAACGAACCAGCTAATCACGTTAGGAGATAACAGATAACCTCAAAATTCTAAGGAAACGCACTCAGGCAAACAGAAGATACCCACCCAACTGCGTACTGATGATGTCTTCCCATATGGTGACGAAACGTTTGTAAGTCAATTGCTAAGCTCGGCGAACAGATCAACAGCCATCTGATCAACAACCAATAAACTCACCCGAGCTACCAATATTTCGACACATTATGAGCCACCTGGGGATTCGTCATAGTAGAGGAGGTTATATGAAGTCTGGACTGCAAATCTCTGCTGACCTTCCGAAAATATTTCGTCTTCGTATTTGACAACTGTCAGGGCGCGCCCAGACAGAAGAAAAAGTACATGTGCAGAGAGTGACGCACCCCCAAGGTCACCATCGGTACGACGCGTCCGGAAAGTAGGTGAGTCGGCGGTGGCTCCCACCAAACACGGCTTAGCAACACATGATCAGCGTAGTGGGCCTGAGACTGTTCACGACCGGAAAACCACTGTACGGAACGAACAACTGAACGACCATATTTGGCCAATTAGTCATGCCATATATTTACGCAGACGCTCTGTATATTTTGTCCTGGCAATACAGGCGTGTCCCCAGTTCTCTGTCTTCTCCCTGTCGCGTAGTCTGGCAGGCTCAGTGCAGACGTAACCCAATAGCTCGGCCACCGCACAATACAACAACAACCGGTTCCATAACTCCGTGCTACACATTATGGAAATATAACCCGTTATGAACTAGAGGGTCAGTGGGGTTCATCTGGAGCTGATGACAGGAACAGGCGATTCCATGACCGGAGCATTTGTCCTCTTTTCTGTCTATCGATCTGACAACTTCCTGGATAGCACGTCATAACTACACCTTCAGGGTGTGACTCTTTCGGTTATTCCCAAGATGCCCACAAGGGCACTCAATCTCTGTACAAAGAGCACTTGCTTCGAGGTAGTTCAGTCGCTAAAAGTACTGGGCACTGCCAGCTACAATGAGGTGGCCTTGTGCTCCGCATGCCGAAACATTGTCTAGCAAGACGGGAACTGTTTTCTGTGCCTCGTTCAGAATGTTGTAAGCCGCGAGGTGGCCAGCGCGTCACATGATAGAAGTGTGCGAAGGAGACAACGAAGAGTTTAGGTGTTATGGATGCGATCCGCCTTCCGAGAGAGAGACCCCGTGATCTCTCATGCGCTGGGAACATTGCAATGAATGGCGGTCAATCGATGTTAGTGGCTATTTGTTTCAGATTATCTGATTAATATCCTGGAAGTTTATGTACCAAGTCCCCTTCGCCACCCACCCTTTCTGTACGCACTCTATTCTGTCAACGCTGATGTTGCTGTCCTTGATGACGGTAAGAGATAAAATACGTTGACCAAAGATATTCAAGACAACTCATTTTCATCAACCACAGCAAACCTAACGGAAGGATGATATTGCAGAACCACGTATCTCAGTCGGTGGAGATTGGATTTTGAAACAGTCGATCGGGAAAGGAACCGAACAGCCGAAATCCTATTGACAGAGCGGTAACAGTTAGTTTGCTTTTATACCAATAGTCCACCTAATTCCAATGCGATCTTTCATCTGGCCAGTGTGTGGGATTCCTGTTTCCTTGATTTTGAACAGATTCGTGTCGCGCATTGGCTTCAGTGACCGAAACGCGGATTTCCAAGGAAATGCAAACCGGTTTGCAAGTTTGAGTAAGCCTCAGTTGTGAGCACCATAAGCAATGAACCAGAAGGCGCTCACGCGCACAAACCTGAATGAATACATGTTTCAACTTTTGGGTAGCAGTGAATGGAAAACTACGCCCTCAACTTTTCTACATTCGTCCCTCGACAATATTCGGTTATGGCGGTGACAGCTCTCGGGATCACGCAGCCATACACCGGTACATAGCGAGGGGAGGGTAAATTCTCTGGATCACAACTGCGGTACTTGTTTATGCATGTCATACTGGAGGGAACCGAGCTCTCCATTTCAAATCTCGGTTGGCCAACGTATAACACCGGCACATTTGACAAGCATATTTGACATCTTTGTGTTCAACCCAATCCGGGAGAGCAGCAACCGCCGCTGCAAAAGGTCACACTCGCCAAAATGAGTGACTAGAAAGTGGATGCGATTCAGCGTAATTCTGTGATGTTGACGTGTTCTTGGGGGCACTGATGAAAATGCAAAAAAAAACCAAAACGCGCAAACCGGTTGCAAAGGACGTAATGTCTTTGCTTGCAAAAAAAAAACATAAAAATCAAGAGGACCAAAATGGACTAAAAATTCTCTGGATCACAACTGCGGTACTTGTTTATGCATGTCATACTGGAGGGAACCGAGCTCTCCATTTCAACTCTTGGTTGGCCAACGTATAACACCGGCACATTTGACAAGCATATTTGACATCTTTGTGTTCAACCCAATCCGGGAGAGCAGCAACCGCCGCTGCAAAAGGTCACACTCGCCAAAATGAGTGACTAGAAAGTGGATGCGATTCAGCGTAATTCTGTGATGTTGACGTGTTCTTGGGGGCACTGATGAGAATGCTAAAAAAAACCAAAACGCGCAAACCGGTTGCAAAGGACGTAATGTCTTTGCTTGCAAAAAAAAAACATAAAAATCAAGAGGACCAACAATGGACTAAGTTTTACCAATGCATTTTAATCTGGAGGTCCTTCCGGGAATGTTGAACGAAACTGAGACAAGTGACTCCGCAAGGAGACAGAAAACAACTGGGGACTTCCACCGAAGAATGTGTCCAGTACCGGAAGTTGCGTTGGTTAGGCTATGTACTGCTCATGTCGAACCATCGTTTTCCGAAAAGAGTACTGTTTTTCGTGCCCAATTCAGAAAGCCCAACCTTTAACGTGGCCTCATCTTCCAGGATAGGTTCCAGGTGATTCTCCCCGTGCGTGGTTGGACACTGCAAGATATGGCTGCTAATCGGTATCAGTAGCGTTCCCCTTGTCAGTTTATATCCAGGATGTCCTGGTGAGTGTCTTGAAGAGTGGGCACCTCCGCATTATTGTAGAATTTTTTAAAAAAAACGAGGCCTTCAAGTAAAGTAAAGTTGTACCCCAGCGAAGCACTAGTACTAAATATTGATGATGACGATGTTTTCCGTGTATAAAAAGTGAAGTTTTAAGAGCCTCTTGATGCTGAAGACGTGCAATTCAGCAGGCTGTCGAATGACTGAAACTAATCAGCGAACACAATTCTTCAAAGGACGAACTGAGTAGCGATCATCATGGCGAACAGTACGGACAAAGGGCCTACACAGTGGCATGTTGGGGCTCAGGAATGCAGCTGTTCCCCAGGTGGCCGTTTCAAGGTTGGAAGCTATGCAGAATGAAGCACTTTGGTCTAGTATCCACCTGCTTCCCTCGTTTATAATATTACTCAAGGGTTGATGAAAACTCTGTGAAACCCATTCTAACGGCTTCACACTTCGTGGGGTTCATCAGGTGGGCGTGGCCTCCTAGTTTCCATCACCCTTATTCACATATAGGCGTAAGTTAAGTTGTGTTGAAGGGAGAGTGTTCACTGCAGTCTACGTACAATGTGGTGTTTACTTAGGAGATGAGCCCCCTGCAAATCGAAACCGGTAGTGGGCTGCCCATAGTTTCCATCGCCCTTGTGAGTGACCCCTCTCCAGAAGGTCGCTTTTGAGAAGTACTATAACCATGAGACGGTGGTCAGTTCAGTAGTATGTGGTGTCAGAGCGAATTACATAAGTAATTAAGCCAATCCCTGATAATACCGATAAAAAGGGCGTTGAAACCCTTTTAAGCAAGCAGGGCGATTTGTTCTTCAGAGGCTAGTTTTATCAAAACGAGTGGACAACTAAGTGAGGAGTGAGACCAGTTAACACTGAGGTTCTACAAGTGCTGTACTCTGCAACACACCTTTGGCGCCTAGCTACCATACCACCTGAACAAAGCACAGGAAGCTGAGATACCAGCGGGCTGCCCAGGTGGTCTATACCAATGTAGAGGTTGGGTACGAACCTCCGATCGTTCGGTCAGTAAGTTTGCGCCCTTGTCAGGGTTAATACAAATTTGCTTGCTCAACCTTAGCAGTCCCGGTCCTAGAGTGCACGCTACAGACGAGCGCTGTATGGCATGAGGATGGGGGGGGGGGTAACAAGTCTTTTCAGATACGACGGCCGAAACATGTTCTGTGGACAGTGTGGCGGTGATGCTATACTGATGTAGGGGCATGCGAGTAGTATGTTTCCCCGTAAATCCGCTTTGCGTCTCTTGAAAAGTGAGACCTATTATGGAAATCGTGGAGTCGCGTTTGCTTGGATTTCAGCAACAGCAATGAACATTCCAGGAAAGTTCAAGGGAAGATGCATATTCAGTTTTTGTAATTAAGATGCATATGAGAGTTTTGCTTCCCTGTCCAATAGTCTGTAACTGTTCAGTTGGCATTTTCTAATACACAACTCCGCAGCAAAGGCCTTTTCCCTTCACCAACAGCCAATTAGCTTCCACTATCAGGCGTGCGATGCACGAACCAGGTTCAGACTAACTTGGGAAGTAGGCAAGAGGGTGGAATGGAGATAACGCCTAGCTGATGGAAAAATCTAATGCACATTACATAAAGTGTGATCAGTGAAAAGTGAGACCTGTTATGGAAATCGTGGAGTCGCGTTTGCTTGGATTTCACCAACAGTCAATGAACATCCAGGAAAGTTCAAGGGAAGATGCATATTCAGTTTTTGTAATTAAGATGCATATGAGAGTTTTGCTTCCCTGTCCAATAGTCTGTAACTGTTCAGTTGGCATTTTCTAATACACAACTCCGCAGCAAAGGCCTTTTCCCTTCACCAACAGCCAATTAGCTTCCACTATCAGGCGTGCGATGCACGAACCAGGTTCAGACTAACTTGGGAAGTAGGCAAGAGGGTGGAATGGAGATAACGCCTAGCTGATGGAAAAATCTAATGCACATTACATAAAGTGTGATCAGGGGTCAGTGAAAAAAACCAGGGAAGTTCGGAATTCACATTGCGCCAAGAGTAACTGGTATGAATATGCCAATTCGGCAGAAGCGATACTGTTCCTAATCTAGCATAATACTGAACGTCATTCATCAGCGGTGTCCACAAGACGGAGCATTAGAGTATGTGTGATAAATCCCAACACATGATGTTTCCCAAATCCGAAAACAGACAAACTTATCAAACACAAAAAAGGGAGAATTAGACCACCGAAATCCCGAAAACACGGCGAAAACGACTCACTGTGGCTATGAAGTAGAAAATGGGATTTAGGTAGGTAGGAACAGCAGCGCACCTGACAGACAAAATCGAGGGTGCTAGTGGAGTATAAGTACTGATAATAAATAATCGTTCAGCTGTACCCCACTTCCGGTTCCTAACTGCCAGGCCACCCGAAAAAAGCACGAGCGCTGGGATACTGTCAGGCTGCCCAAACCTAGACGGGGGAAGTCAAAGGGCTGAGGTCGGGTTTGCACCACAGACCTTCCGGTCGGTAAATTCGCGCTCTAACCACTGAGCCAAAATGCTGACCGAGGAGGAAGGCTGTGCATCCTGTACAGCATGAATAAATCAAGAAAATGAGCGATGAAAACTCACACACACACACACACACACACAGGCGACCCCATGTAGTATGAAAGCAATTTTGAATAGACCGGGGGTACCTCGCGCATCCTCTGTAGAGCGGGGGTCAAACAATGACTTGACAGTGAAGTATGAAAGTGGTTGCCGGGAAACTCAGCCGCGCTGGTCGTCGCCGCCTCCTTGGATAGGGACCCGATCTCCCCGATGAAAAGTCCACTGGCAACCCTGTATTTACGCATCAATTACATCAGCTATCACCTCCAATGCGTAGCTATCTCTACCTCCCCACCCCCCAAACTATTGGTGAACTACACTGTGGCAGCTATAACCACTGTTGACGATGATCTCCAACAAAAGAATGGTCTTGTAAGACAGTTTTTGCCGCGAATAGTCCCCAGGTCCTTTGGCGACCAGTTGATTGCAATCCACAATATCGAAGAAGGCTGTGGGTACACTGATATAGAATTATCAGGATCCTTACGTAGACCCATGAACAGTTGGGACAAAAAATTGACTAGCTTCCAGAAATAGAACAACCCATTGGAATGAAACGAGGCATATGAACCAATTTCGTCACCTATACACCTACGGCTCTGAGCCGAGCATTTCGTGAAATCTCTACAGGAAAGATGGCCCAAGTGGTTAGAGCGCGAATTTACTGATTGGAAGGTCCGTGGTTCGAACCTCACTATTCCTTTTCCTATCTAGGCTAGGGCAAACTGGCAGTATCCTAACCCTCAAGCTTACTTCGGGTGGCATGACAGGCACCGAAAGGGTGCTACAGCTGAAGGGGTTTCCTTTTATTTTCACAGACCCACTCTGAATTATTTTTCTCAACTGACAAACTTGGAATTTTGAAATCAGGCATTTGGGTCCTTGTGATCAGTGGACGTGTATTTACCGGTGGAGTTACAGTGGCATTCTTCTATAATCTCTTTACGCACATATCGACAACATATAACGTTTTTTCATAGACAGGCCGATTTTGCACTTTAAAGCAAAGTCCAACTTTCGGGTGTATTTTCCAAATTCGGGTCAACCTTCGAACAAAAAACGAGAAAAGTATGTCGAACTAAATAGAGCTTGAGAGTAACGTAGACAGCCAAGAAGCCGTAGTAGAGAGGTTGCCTTCACAGGGAGGTGGTTAAGTAGATGGCCTGTTTTGGTGACTTCTCAATTGTACGTGTAAGTGATAACCAGTTCACACACTAGAGATCTTCGTCCCAATTTGGAAGAATCTACTTTGAGGACCCGATTAACAGAGTTTTATGAGGATTTGACACTCACTTCGGAGTCACCGAAAGAGAAACATCACGCCTCGGAAACAGACGAGTATGCAGTGTACTCCCGTCGCCAGTTTTGGGTTGGATAAGCAGGAGCAGATGAGTGCCACTAAAAGTGCGTGTGTTTCGGGCCTGAAGAGCAACCGTTATCCAGTAATGGTGTATAATGTAACCGCATTCCGATTGTAGCCCTGACTGTGCCCAGAATCCGATGAATTGATAACTGAGTCCCGCTATACAGTGGTAACCTAACCAGACCTCTACCAAGCTGTTACGACTGGCTACCTGTTAGTGGACGGTGCCTCACGCTGTCACACAATTTTCCACAATCTACACAGGGTGTCCGATTGTGACCGTCTGAAGAGCAACTCACACAAGCATATTGGGTCGTCTTTTGTCTCTCCCAACTACTCATCATCATCATCTTCATCATCATCATCATCATCATCATCGGCAGCATGACATCAGTGTTCAACGCCGATGCTTCACTGCTGTACGTTGTATGTGGGCTGCGATACTGTCGGGGCGCCCACACCTAGACAGAAGGACGATTAGGGTCCTCAATCAAAGCCTTTTGCTCAAACGCCTAACCGCAAGGCAGCAGTGGTTGGCAAGAAATGCAAATGCATTACCATTTCCACGGAACAAGTCGCCACATGTTCCAACCCCCAACATGGAGGGCCAGGAGACTGTGTTCGTCAGACCTCTACCCATGGACCAACCTGGTATGAGACCCTGTGAGTATCGACGACCCTGTGGACGATCCCCGGTATAGCTCAATGGATCGCTTTCGTACGCGAACCGTCACACCACGGAAAGGTCCAGTCTCTTCGGGCTAACTAATAGTAGCGAGTGTATCGCCGGAATCAACTTACAGTTGAACGTGTGACTGCCATCTGCAGAATCCAACACGTCAAACGCGGTTGATATGGACTACGGAGTGCCTTTTTCACGGATTCTGACGGATATCGCCACAAACAGCTGCGACAGACAGGAAAAACCGCCGTAGAACGAAGCGGATATCCGAAGCTTGGTCTTGTCATGAGTGACTTACGCGTGGATAATTGGCCGCATTCGGGGAGGGGAGGGGACTGGGTAGTTATCTCTCCGAAATTGTGGAGAACTTTGAAAGTTGCCCAAAATAATCATTATTCGGGGGCTTGTTCCCCCTGGTCGAGTGATAATTTCCGCCGAAATAATTAAGCTTCTCCAAGTCCCTAGTTCGTTTGAGGGTTTAAGAACTCCGCATAGACAGACGGGCGAACATACGAAGAGCTTACCTCGTCCAATTGAACTTTCGAAATGCTTGCTAGCCGACAAAGAGATGAAACCCAAATGCAGATGTACCTGAGGTTGGGTAGAAAACGAAGCATCATTATGAGTTAGTAAACAGTTGAAGTTAAAAAATGAGGAAAAGTTCAAAAACGGACAAGCGGTGCAAGAAAATTAGGCTGTGTCATCTGCATAATACGTCATGCAAGAAAAAATTAGCCGGCTTCGTTAATTCCGTCAGGATCACCTGTTAAAACCCGCGGGTTTCCATGGAATGAGGGGCGGGTGCCTGTAAATACGTAAGACGATAACTCATGACATGAAGGTTTAAGCGAAATAACGGTGGGATGGAAACAACAATGCTCGTCATTTGGTTCAATACCGTTTGGTGACCGACACAGTTGAGCTCGAGATGGCTCAGTGGTTAGGGTTCGAACTTACCGGCCGCAAGGTCTGCGGTCCCAAGCCAAACTCAGCATCTCGAATTTCCTTGTCTAGGCTTAGGCACCATGGCGTTATCGCAGGCCTGGTAATTGCTTCTGGTGGCATGCCAGCTGGGCACCGAAGAGGAGTTACAGCTGAACGATGAGTATTATTAGTAGGTGGATACTACTGATGACACACGCGAGTAGTATGTAGTTTCTGGTAACCCTGCTTTGATCGAATGGAGGATGGGATTTAGTACGTAATTTTGTGGAATTGCTTTGTACCATTCGTTTACATTTGAGTGATGGTCAATGAATATCCAGGACAGTTCAGGAAGACGAGCTCAAGAGGAAGACGGATATTCAGTTTTAAGAAAAAACAATGTGCATATGAGAGTTTTGCTTCCTGTTCAATTAGTGTTCTCTAATAAACAACTCCACAGCGAAGGCCTTCTTCCTTTCAGTAGTAGTGGTATTAGTGATATTATTGTTGTAGACAGTGCGGTACAGTACATTGAGTAGAAACTCTCTACCAAGATGCAGTGACTTCATCTGCAAAGGGTTATTCAAGGCGATCGTTTGCAAGACCGATGCGGACGAATTCGGCGAATGGCGAAGGATTCGGGGTTACCAGTGTGAGGACACATAGTTGTCCAGCTGTAGCACCCTTTCGGTGCCTAGCTACCATGCCACAAGAGGGAGGTACGAGGGATGGGATACTGTCAGGTCGCCCAAACATAGACAGGGAAAGCCGAGTGGCAGAGGTCGGGTTCGAACCACGGACCTTTCGGTCAGTAAATTCGCGCTCTAACCACTTGGTCCATCTCGCCTCTCAGACATACGCAGTGGATGACACTGCTATGACTTCGTAACCGAGTCGTCTGTCACTGCTACTAACCATTCGCGCGTATGGTCACGGAATCCTGAGGATCCCCAACGCAGCCGATGTCCCTGCCAGGCTACTGTTCGATTCCCCTTAGAACACTTCCATTCATTACGTGACCGAATGATACGGGTTTTGTGGGGATGGACAGCGATGCAGTATGTGAAGTACGCAACGTAAACGGCGTAGATCAGTGGGTGTACGCACCGCGTCCGTCGAGCACCAACCGCTCCAACCAACGAATATCAGCAATAAAAACCTCGTCTTCCCATGAGAACGGGGGCAATATAAGGAAGAGACCGATGTAAAAAGGTCCAAAGATTCGGCCTGTCCAATACCCATGTGGTGGGGATAAGCCAGCAACGCCATTACCAAGGGAGTTAAAAGTCGCCAAGTATCCATAGGCGAGATGGCCCCAGCAGTTGGAACACGAATTTACTGACCGGAAGGTCCGTGGTTCAAAACCGACCTCTGTCTCTCGACTTCCCCTGTCTAGACTTGGAGAACCTGGCAGTATCCTAACCCTCGTGTAACCTTCGGGTGGCATGGCAGTTGGGCACCGAAAGGTTGCTACAGCTGAACGAAGTATCCTGATCTTCTCCACAGAAGAGACTCCGTATTCCTCAACAGACCACGAGGATTCAGTTGCCCGACTTATCTAGACATCTGATATGTGACACAAACAAAGTTTGTAATAGAAGATCCAAGACAGACCAACACATTAACAGGGGTTGTTCCTTTTGGATTTTTTAAAGCGCTCGCCGAAAAGTCAAGACTTGAATTGGTAGTAAATCTTTTCGATCAGACGTCCTTCCTACTGAAAACGGAAGGGTCCCTTCAGCCTAAATGTTGAGCTCTTCAGGAAACCACTAGAATGTAAAACCTATTTTGCGAGATTGCAGAACCGTTCAGCTGTAGTGCCGTTTCGGTACCTAACTGCCATGCCACCTAAAGGGAGCACGAGAGGCTGGAATACTGCCAGGTTGCCCAAGCCTAGACAGGGGAAGTCAGGAAGGTCGGGTTCGAACCATGACACTTCCAGTCGGCAAATTCGTCCTCTAATCACTGAACCATCTCACCAAATACCTTTTGTGTAACAATCGGTGTCGTTGCAGACCAGTTTTAATGCACACTATTCTGTCCGTTCCGTTTTCACCGCAGACGCATAGGCGACTGATGTGATCGAAACACATCACTGAAGGAACTTCAATGTCATTTGTTTACGAACCTGCAGAAAATACGGAAACATCACAGCTGGTGTTTGTAATCACTGTCAAAGGAATGCTACGCGGTTGCACACAAAATACAACCGAACTCAACAAAAAAGCCGCGCTGACAATAGCACAGATGTTCTGAGACGAGGTTGCGCACGAACGGTGCGTTCGAACCGCATCATATTTTCTCAAAAAGTTAAGAACAACCTAGGTAACGAAATCATGTGATACCTACAAAAATGTCCAAAATTTGGACTTTTCAAGATATCGTTGCAGTCGCGTCAAAAGACCCAACAAACATAACGACTTACAGTGAGTTGCGGACGGTTCCACAATGGTGGACATCCTGAAGTCTGATTTTCCAACTGAAGTGGAACGGAAGCGAACCAGTCGGGCACAGCACCACCCGGACTGCTAGTGTTGGTCGGACATTGACTCCATTGCGTTAGCGTTTGCATGGCATCGGTCATTTCGGGCCACAGACGCGTCAAACGATCGTAGATAAATTTGTAGGAAAATCGGTGCTGCTTGTCCACGGGGATCAGGTGAAGCAAACCAAGGAGGTCGTTTCGAACCTGTGATAAATTGGGGAACCGTGAATGAAGTCGACGCCGCACAGTGAAACCGAGTTTGTGATCATCCTCAAAGGTTGTTTACTCAATAGGGTCCCACAGAACCACAACACTTTAAGCAAAGGACCCATTGTTTACCGACTCCATTCACTACCTCAACCAAACAGTATGAAAAAAACGGAGAGGTGTGGCTCAACCACCGCGTTTACATAGGCGCCCTTCTACAACGATTCAAATTATTCTTTCCGTACAATTCTCCATGCCTGATTCATGGCAACTGGGTTAAAATCGGGGCTTAACCCATCATTGTTGTGACTTGCTGAACAGTAGTGCAACTCTGTATCGGTCCCCGAGTCAAAGGAGCTCGATCCGGATTGGCTGGCATTCTGACCAATCAGGGCATGCCTTCGTTTGGGCCGTGTCCTGCACATGACATATCCGTCCAAATGATGTGGTGTTCAGTTATTAGGGACGGCTGGCCTCCGCACAACCATCCAGACGGACAACCAGTAACCAAGCCAGGATACATACTAGAGAAAAATCTGACAAGTTTATTAAGCGTGGAATGTCTTCGTTTCGAACCTTACGTATATTACAGACGAATGAGGGGCGATGACGGGAGTATCTTCAACAATTGTGGTACAGCTCTACGCTCAAGCTGAAAGTGACTGAATAACGATGGGCTAGTCGGAAGTAACATTAAAAAAACAGGATACAGAAAACCCGCCGAAAACCGTGATCCGCCTTCGAAAAGACCTGTTAAGAGTTTTCATTCTCGCCGGATGTTAAAATGTTAAAAAGAGTCATATAGGGTTGATAAGAGTGAGCGGATATCTAAGTTCTACTATTCGCTGGCACGCTACAGTCAAAAGCTTGAAAAATGTTCACTTCAGTGTCCAGATTTGTTAGTTACACGGCGCTGTGCTTCAATAAGGGAGACAAAAGAACCTCCAGAGTAATCGCAGTTTGACAGTACAGCATTGATGCCTTGTAGTTCGCGTGATTGTAAACACCCTATTGGATGAAAATGAGGATTAGTCTGTCTTCTGATTGGTTCTGCAATATGTGATGCGACGAGATGGTCCAAGTGGTTAGAGCGCGAATTCACTGGCCGGAAGGTCCGTGGTTTGAATCCGACCTCCGCCTTTCGACTTCCTCTGTCCAAGCTTGAACGACCTGACAGTATCCCAGCCCTCGTGCAACCTTCGGGTGGCATGGGAGCTAGGCACCGAAAGGGTGCTACAGATGAATGGTGTGACGGGGTCAAATCCGGCAGGTGAACCTAGATGCTTAGACGCACGAGCCGCGAGCGCCGGATGTGGGGCGGCTGGTTTTGGGGTAGTTTCATCTGGTTGCCACTGACCACTTGTGCTGTCAACTTGTAAATCGATTCTGCTATTCATCTGGTTGCCGCTGACCACTTGTGCTGTCAACTTGTAAATCGATTCTGCTATCCCAAGGTTTATATCATTTGGTCACCATACAAACATTAATCCCCCGGATGTCCTTGTGAGGACGATTCTTCGATCTGACTAGTTAAATTGTTTTCATAGTACTTTTCAAGAAATTCAGCATGCCGGATCGGTTCTACGAGGTCAAACATAAATTTGTTTGCTTTGCCACAAATGAATTTTAAGAGATGCCGTTTCGGCCCCGTTTCGAATGGTCAGTAGTACATGTCTGACCAAGTCAAACAGGCGCACGAAACTACCGCTAACCTAGGAAAACAGTTCGGCACCCATACCGGACACTGTGCCAGTGTTCTATCGACAACACACATCAAAATAGCCTAGTTTTGACTGGGTGTTCGAATGATTGCTTCTCGGAACGTACGCGTGGTCGAACAGACATACGTGATCTCTAAAAGTTGCGAGGGGGCAGTCCCTCGGCTTTCTTATGGAAATTCAAACTTTATCCAATCGCATCTTGATACTTCATCGCGCATACACAACAGTTGGACCGATGTTTCTTGCACAATCATGGGCTTTCGGGCAGGATTGAACAGTTCTGTGGAGAAGCAACCATCGAAGTCACCTGGGTATCATGGTGATGTGAACTGTATTCAACTGCAAATTTATTATATTTAGTCTGACGTATCTCATAAAAGTACAATTTGGTTTGCTCCTAGCGGGGGGAGGGAATGAGGTCAAGTTAGCCGGTGAATATTTCGAACATCGAAAATTCTGTTCTTCTCTTTCCATCTGAGTATTGCTCTACGAAAACCAATTGCTTCCTGGAAGATTTCGCTAGCATGAGAAATTCGCAGCAGGAGGAGAGTGACTCGTGAAAATTGTCACCTTCAAGGTGTTACTTGAATGGAAGGATCTCATGCATCACCATCATCATCATCTTCATCATCCTTGTCAGCTGTAATAACCGCGTACTCGTTGTACGGTGGTTGAAGCTGCCACAGTTTCGTTCACCGATGATTTGGGGGTGGGGTAGGTAGCTACGCATTGGAGGCGGGAGCTGACAAATTGGTGCATAAATCCAGCATTGTCAGTGGGCTGTCAAGTGCG